TTCACAATGCGGCGGGTTCGCAAATGGTCATGCTATATAAATCCCTCCCAAATATGAATCCCTTAGAACTATAAAGCGCAGTTACATAACGACCTGCAAAATTATTAGTAACCATATCAAACAAAGCTATAATGAATTGAAAACTTACACAGTCGCCTTCACTCTTGGTTTGTGGAATACCCATTTCCTCAAAAGTGGCAGGTCCTTTCTTAGCAGGAGCAGATGGTTTTGGTGGAGCTGCAACTGGAGTAGGAGCAGGAGTAGTAGGAGCTGACGAGACAGAAGATTGTCTCGAGTCTTGCGGAGACATTGGATTACCAACTGGCTTTCTGCTTGCTGTAGAGGAAGCAGCCGAAACTGGCGTCATGGAAGCGCCTCGTGGGGGTACGACGTTCTGACCAGGTCCTGGTCTGGAACCATATGCAGATTGTTGAGACTGAAACGACTGGACGGATTGTGCAGTTCCAGGCCTTGATCCAGAAGTTGGAGGTCTTTGCTGTGGATTCTGATAACCAGATTCGAAACTCATTGGAGGAATATTTGGGGCGCGGTTGGGTGATGGATTGCGACCTTGTGAAGGCATTTGACCCATAGGAGATGATGATCGTATAGGCTCTGTGTTTTGATGTGTAATTCCCAAATGAGGTGGTTGTTGCTGAGAGCGAATACCAAAAGCAGAAGATGGTCGATCTGATGCTGGGTTCGAACTTGAGGTTGATGGTCGCAGTCCATCTTGTGGAGGATATCTCGGAGATCTGGGAGGGTTACCATTACCGCGATTACCAGGACTGTAGTCATCCTCTGGATATGGTGCAATGGAGATTGGACGAATACCCGCAGGTGCACCCTTTTTGACCTTAGGCTTTTGACTGTGCACGGGAGGAGTTGGTGAGGAGTAATCTTCTGCCATAGTTGGCATTGGTGGAGCATTAGCTTGCGTAAATCTCTCCGGCCTGGCTCCTCTTCGAGAACCGTGCGTTGACTTGATACGTTGAATCGCCGCTCCATGATCACCCTTGGAGAGTGTGTGGTTTGCTCTAATGCTATCGATTCTCCCAAGAGCATCCTGGTTACCGTGCTTGGCAGCCTTGTCATACCATTGTGAAGCTATTTCGAGATTTTTCTTGACATACATTCCAATCTCATAGAAGTAGCCCATAGCGAACTCGGCTGTAGCCATTTCTGTCTCAGCCGCACGTTGCGCATATGTATAAGCCAATTCTTCATTCTTCTCGAAGATACCCTCATAGCCACAAAGGAACCATTTACTGATGGCCATATCGGCTTCGGGCTCTCCTTGTCTGGCAGCAAGAGCGTTATAATGTAAAGAAAGTGCAGGGTCAAATTCGCAGCCAAATAGACAAAGTTCGTAAGCTTGAGCCATCTTGAGTTGTGCTTTGGCAAATCCGAGATAAGCGGCCTTTTCTACGAACATTTTGGCTTCGTTCAAATCATACGGTAGATATTCATCAGGCATGGTAATGTTTGGCAACTCTCTGGCGAGTAACATTCCGTAAACGTAGGCGCCTTGAGGGGCATTCTCGTCCGCCGTGTCGGCTGCAAATTGTATCAGATCTATACCTCTTGCATAATCTTGTTGCATGCCACATTGACCGAGTAAGGTAGCCATTCCAAGCCTATAGTTTGCCGCGGAATCCTTCAAGTATACACCTCTTTGATAATGTTCAACGGCCTTGGTAGGGTTCATGGTATTCTCGAATTGCATTCCGATTCGGTATTCTGCTCGAGCATATCCTTTTTGTGCAGCTCGCTGGTAACCTTGGAACGATTCCTTTTTATCCATTCGATACCCAAATTTACCAAACTCTAACCACATCGCCTTCATGAATTCTGCCTTTGGATGTTGCTGTTCTGCGAGAAAGTTGACGATGCTTATAGCGTCAACTCGTAATTGATGTTCAATCTTGGGTGTTGGGGCTCGCGAGTCGTCGTTCTTTCGCTCGTAAGTAGAACTGGCTACCTCTACCCATGACAACGCATCCTGAGCCCATGCCAACTGCATTTCTGGGTCGCTAGACTTCAAAACCATGGGTCTAGCTCTCTCCAAAACCTCCTCTTTATCTTCATCCGACAAAGGTACATTCTGACCTGCGTTTCGAGGTTTTGGAAATGGTGAAAACCTCGGGGAATCAGGCTGGACTCGTGGCGTACCATAAGGCCCCTTTAAATTCTGATAGATAGCCGCATTTGTATGTTCGTAGTTTGCTGTGTAGCCCGGTCCGCTGTTTCGATTGCTGTAACTCGACCGCGGCGATTCGCTGGTGTGCTGTGAATTGTCATTATACATTGATTGACTAGAAACACTTGAATGTGAGCTTACTCGTCCATCTGAATTCAGTTCCAGATTTGCAAGATTATCTTGCATATTATGTGGTACCTCTGGCATGATTCTATACTTCTCATTAATGGGCGTTCATCCCACCTCGATATTTGTCGGATGAAAGTGGCAGAATGGCACACCATAGCCATAAACCATTTTCCTTTCTCAAATCGAACAATGAAAAATAAAACCGTACCTTTGTGGCATTGGAGACACTACATTAGTAGTAGGCATATAGAAGTCGTCCCCTCCTCCTGGATAGAAGGTCGCCCCCAGATTGGGGTTCTGTTGATACCCCCCACCATAACCGTTCATATTGTTACTAGAATTTGGAGTTGTAGGATTATTGAGACTGGCGCTGCGAGGAGGAGGCTGATACGCTTCTAAAATCGAAATGGAATTATTAGCTGGATTCCGAGATGTTTATGAAGATGGTCTGAAATTTGCGACAGTCAAGTCGAGGCAGATGTTGTGTATCTTATGAGTGAGTCGCAAAGAGATAGAAATAAGAAAGTTGTGAGTGAGTGCTAGCTGGGCTGGATGTAGGATTACTATGTACGTAGTGTCACAGCCGGACATCAGCGGAAAGCAAGCTTGCGACTATGCCATGCGCCCCCCTCCCGGATGAGCGATACAAGGGCAAATCTGGTAATCATCGATTATACTTTTTTCTTTTTTTAACTCTCCCGAATTTGACGACGTTTGATGTGAATGCCATGTCCCCTTTCGTATTGTTGGCCCGATATTGATATTGATATTGATATTGATATGGATATTGATATGGATGTTGGAATAGATTGTAATAAAAACTCTATAACATACCTTGTCCCGTTGGTGAAGATTGTTTCCAACCGGCTCGAGCAGGTTGATATTCCCCATGTTGCTCTTCATTGTAATCATCGTAAGCGCTGTTGTAATATGACATGGTGGTCTTGAGATGATAGGTTTCCGAGGGATGGATATCCTGCAGGCCTGTGGCGGGATGATTTTCCTTGGAATGATGCAGAAACGTGGATATATTTTGGGATCTTGAAGAGTTTCTGCGCGGTAGAAGTTCACAGGATTATTGGTGTGGTGGTGTTGGTGTATGAATGCTGGGTGAGTTGAGTATGTATGTATGGTGCTCGCAGAATGTGTGAAGCCTTTACTTTTTAAGGATGATTCTTTTCCCCTCCTGCTTTCGACAACAATACCATACGATTTGAGAAAGAGTGTTCGAGAATTTCACAGTTGGATTATCAGGAATTTTATTACACAGCAATAAGTAAAAGCAAAGAAAGAAAGGAGTATGTTTACCAAATCGCGACTCGCGAGCAAAGCGAAAGTAGTTAATATGTAGAGCATCAGTACTCCGTACGGTGCACTTTTTTTGAACTTATTCATTCATTCCCCTGTTCTACTTTTTTTTCTTTTCTTTTCCCTGACAAAATGATTCACTGTGAAAGACCGTCTCTCCCCCTTCTCCTGCTCCTTCTCCTTCTCCTTCTCCTCCCCCCTCCTCCCGAGACACCCAAAACAACATCAACCAAGGTCCAAGGAGATTTCACCAACACAGGCGCAAATGAGATGAAATGGCTGAGCGTTTTGGTGGACAAATCGTGGCAACATGTGGATCTCATCCCAAGATTACCAAGAACCTTCATCTCCCTCTCAATTTGCCTTTAAGCATATATACATTGAATACACGCGGCCCTTTCGTTATTGGTTAAATCTCCTGAGACACTTATTATTTATAGGAGGATATAAATTAACTGTTTTCATCGTTCTGCAACATTCAACATTTGAGCGACAGGAAGGTACTGGGCAGCTGAGCTCGTTTACATTTTCTACAGCGATACAATTTCGACGTACGCCATCCCGCAGTTGCATCGCAATCGGGGCTTCGGGTCTACCTTCTCTTCCTTCTCAGCTTCCATCAAGGAGGGGGGAAAAGAAAATACCCCCTTCCAATTATCTCATTGTTTAGGTAAAAAAAAATGCTGATGGAACAATATGCTAAGCTTTGATCGACACAGGCAGCATATGTCCAATATTCCACTCTTTGGGGATTCACCCATGTTCTTTCGGAAATTTGACCCGACATGAAAACAATCGAGCATCTCGATGCGAACCCGCGATGCATTCATGCTCAACGGTGTTCAAGAGATGCTTAAGGCTGAGTACCAGGCTTCTTCCTTCGGCCTAGCGAGTCGTATGAAGCAAAGTCTTACATCTACGATAAACAGCTCACCATTGAGGCTGGGGAATCCTAGGGCTGACCCTCAACCAACCCTCTCGCCGATACAAGAATTGGTTGCTGCATGAAAATCCACAGCATGTCATTGACATGGAAGCTAAATCAATTAAAGATAAATCTGGGTCGAAATATATCAATGCAACTCAGTCCTTGGTTTGGGCCCGGCCCAAGTGGAGCTGTCAAATATTCGAGAACATTGCAGGGATTAGATGATATATGAACTAGTGATTTCGGCTTGAACGGGTGCGTATTGCGTACCGACGTTGAGAGCCAGATTCCTTGGTGGAAAATTTTAGAAGAAAAGGGGGTGGACATTCAATGTTCGATTCGATACAAGCCTGACAAATAAGTAGGATGAAGACACAAAGAGAGCCATTCTCGGACCTGAACAGATTCTACAAATGTTCATCCAAATCATACTCTATGGGGGATATGCACTATGTTTTGACTTTTATGCATGATCTTGGGCTACTTCCAGAATGCGGGGGAAAGCTTCTGTTGATCAATAAAAGATCAGCTCCATACGATAACTTTCAGGGAAACGGCGAGCTAGTCACTCCTGAATCTCTGTACGTACCTCAAGTAGCCAGTCCAGAGGACACAAATAACATTGTGAAACACAATGGGCTAGACGTATAAGTTTTATCTGCCCATCGTTTTACATATATACCACTCTCACACATCCTATCTCGATGTAAAGGATTGTGCTTCGTAGAATCACCCGCACGATGTTCGGACAAGTTTAGTATGCCCGGAAGTCATAGCTATGGACAGTTTTACTGACACACATTCACCACCTCATGACTATAGCTATGATTGTCGATACAAATATTACACGGTATGTGGTTCCTGAACTGAAGGCCGAGCTACCCTCGATATGTACGGACAATCCATATAGTCTCTTATGGTAGTGGCCACAGCTTACTCATTGACATTGAGAAGGTAGATGTCTAACACTATCTTCCGATCAATCACCACCACAAACCACCGAACCCCATCTCCACATGTCAAAAATACAACAAGCCTTTAGAAGAAACCCCACTGGCATTTCATTATTCCGTCATTGTTGGCGCAAATTCCTCTATCTCTACTTAATTTCAACGCACCTGCCATGAAGCTCGAAGTGGGCAGTGCATAATCACTAGATTCATAGCATGTTGGGACTGTTCCTTTTTTTATCCTTTTTTATCCTTATTGACAGTACTCCCATTAACGATTGTGTAGATTGCTTACTCTTCATCAATAGATGAGGTTCCACAGCCCCTCTTCCAGACTCTTCGCCCACCATATCTTCTACCCACCCTCACTACACCCAACCACTCCCCCTTCTCTTCCTCACATCCATCTTCCCCAAACCTTATCTCAAGCTCTTCAGTGCCAATTTTCCCTATCCTCATGTTTTGCGCCCATGTTGTTGATAAATTAATCCCCGCATCTGTACCTCGAAAAGTTTCTGTACTGCGTGATTTCAATGCCAACGCAATAAATTCTCCTATCGAATTCCAAGCGACTGTTCTCCACCCAGCGAAGCACATGTAGACCATGAACCCCAGCGTCGAAATTTAATGCGTTAAAAGAAGTGCTAATGCCAATTTCCTCGTGATTCCACGAATCCCATAGCTATATCCTCTGCGCCAAATCTCAAATTTCCACTCTAGCCAGCCTTTGGAAAGCTCGGGCTCGTTCCTCAATGAGGCTAGTCGCCTCAAAGTATCATTATGGCCAAACGAGAAATTATCATCAGATATGACGCTCTGGGAGCCATAACGCGCAAGAGCATCTGTCATGAATACACCAGCATAGAGTGAGATGAAGCCTTGGATATTAGCAGTACTGCTGGGTGGACTAGGTCCCCCAATTGGAGATTGATTAAATGAAAGTGTCCCATTTGCACCGAGAATCATGAATCTGTTCAGTAGACCTTGAATAAGGGTAGCATTAGGTAGATTCTGCGCGGGTGCGGGCGCGGGAAAAGTAGGATTGGCATGCATATCACCGTTAAAATTGATGGTTGGAGCCTGGACTCTATTTGTTTGAGGCATTGTCCCATTTATATGGCTTACAGTCAAATCTGTCAAATCTTGTGTTAAGTTCTGCGTCAAGTGAACTCCTGGAACCACTATGTTCGTATATGCGGCCCAACTAGGAGTAATGTTAATGACATCGCTAAATTCTGAGCGCTTTTTCTTTGTCCGCCCTTGATGTGCATTGTTTATAAGGCTTCGTAGCTCTGAGAAGGCTACAGAGTCAGTGAGATTATCGTTGATAATATCGCTAGTTGTCGGCTCATATTTCACTTGATTTGCAACCATCTTGCATCCAATGTGCACGGTATGATTAATGTATCCTGGACGGTAGACCAGCCCGTCCCATTGTATACACGTGTAGACATCGGAAGCATAAAGATTCCACCGATAGAAGCGGTTCCGCTATAGTTTTTGTATAGGTCAATCCAGGTTAGATCTAAGTCTTGCTGGTTCCTGATGCCACTCCAAGAGTCCTTTGGCACTGCATATCCTATTTTTTCATTTAACGTCGATGTATTCTTCATGATTCCATGTAAGAGAGGAAATACTGGAGCATCTGCTGTATATTTACCAGCACTTGTAAGATTACTCTGAGCATAGATATTGCATTTGACCTGAACAGTCGGTTGTTTTAGGGTAGTTGTGGAATCAGACAAGAACTTGGGCTAAGATATGAAAGATTCATAGGCTGCCGCCAAAGTTAGGTCATTCCATATCGCGCCCACAGCGAGCTGAGGGACAACTGACAATGAGGTTGTGTATGAATGACCTGAATCCATTCCAGCCGAGGCAAGAAAATTGCGCGTATTTGTGTATGCGTTATAAAAAGTCATATTCGCTGCTTTTCCTTTTAGAACATTAAAGTCTTGACTATTCAGCCAAGTGTTGATATCTTGCGCTCCACTGGCCGGACATACAAAATTGGCAGATGCGTCTACGTAATTGGACAATTGACCATCGAGAGCGGTGGAGCCAGTGGTTCTAAGAGGTTTATAGGCCACAACTCGAACTTGGTTGGGAAGCGAAATACCAACGTGTTATTGGTCATTTGCCACCAATCGAGGTTGGGTCGCATGGCAATAGCAGAGGATGGTCCAGCAAGAGCTGTGAGGATGGAACAGAACACCACGAACAGGGCAAAGAGATAAATGCTCAACTTCCGTCCGTGAGAACACTCAAAGGATGACCAAAATGACGTGCGGGTGAAGAATCTAAGGTCTCCAATCTGAAGACCAGCACCAAGTAGTCCAAAGGGTATACCTTTTGCCTTAGCGAGCATAAATACAATGAAATGGGATACCATGTAAGCCACAGAAGAGCCGATCCAGAGTTCATGAAGCTTGGCCGCAAATTGAAGGCTATTCAACATGGTATTTTGCCATGTGCAATTAGCCTGTGTGTCCCCCCAGTAAACAGACTGCACGTTAAGGTACACCAAGCTCGCGGTAGTAGCCAGAGGCAACGCAAGAAGAACCAAATCGAGTGTGATGAATTTGCACCTGTTATCGAATACGAATTTGGCAGGTTCTCCCGGGTCTGGATATTTGGAAAGATGATGAAATCTTGGGAGCCTTGGTCGATTGAAATTTGTCCATCTGGGAAGAGGTATGCGGAGAACGAGCGACTTGTGTTGGGACCTCGTGATTGATTGTGATTTTACTTTGGCGGCAGGAAGGATGATGAGAGTTCGAGAGGCTATGTAAAGAATCGTCGGGTTTACCACCTGGATCCTGTGATGCACTGCGTGATCTGGGCTAAAAGTTTAGAGGAAAGACGCCTGCGAGATATTCGGTGTATATAATCCAGCTTTACGGATCATAGGGAATCAGTTTGTAAATTTGAGATGGATACAAAAGTATATCGAGATTGGTGGAAGGCCTCGTCCACAGAAATCACTTTATAATTAATTCCTTCTCACTGACACCAGTGTCATTTATTTGCGGCGGAACGTGATAGTCAAGCGAGGTAAGATACATCACCCATCGAAACATCAAGCGCCAAATTGCAGGGAGAAATAGTATCCCATGATTTACCAATCTCATGCCAAAGAAGAGAAGTTGTGACAATAACGAGGGCAAGGCAGAAAGATTCTTCGACGTTTTTACTGCACGTCGCATGCGAATCCTCAAGGCCTCGGAGTTAGATCTATTTTGGAACGAGCCGCATCTCCACTTTTTGGCACATTAAAAACATATCACCTTTCACTTGTGATCATCATATATTACGCTACATAAAATCCTCTCTGTGGGCTAAATCGATGTTTCTCGGAGACAGCGACTCGAATGGTAAATACGCATTTCTCAAGTCGGCGATTTAAAATAACAAACTACCTAATCACACATGCAACGATTCTGCATCATTGAGATGAGTATTGGATATGATGGTCGAGTTTGGGGAACTGTATCGATATCCCACATGTATGAGTGTTTGCTAGATAGAATACTCTTGTTAAAATGATTGAACTTGCACACCGTCGCAGAAAAGTAAGTGTAGAATATGATGTTTCATGAATCTGCTGTATGGAAAGTACTATTTGGGTCTATGTATTCTGGATTACTAGGTATGGTTTCGATGGGTGGTGGTGTAGGGTAACAATGCAAGAAGCGTAGTTAATACGAGCGATACAAATGGGATTTTCACGAGGAAAATATGACATGGAGTGATTTCCATATTGACACTGATGGTGTAAGAAGACGCCACGAACGGGATTTCGCCCCCTCATCCTCTGGCAAAAAAATCATTCTCGCTACAACAAGAATTCAAGACTCTGTCTCCTTGATTTTTACCTAGCCCCTTTCTCATGAATCGGCTAACACTGTGAATAATAGCTGTTTTTAATACGATAAGCTCCCTCTACACACTACTCATGAGTTCCCCCACCTTAGCTCCCGCCGTAAGTCTCGAGTAACACGAAGGTCCGCGACAATTCAAATCAAAATAATCAATCACCACACTCTCATTCGTCGGAATATTATGCGTCACCCCCTTCGCACTCGTGGCTCTGAATTTCGCCCCATAGTCCCACGTCGTCCAATTCGCATCCGGCCAATTCGATTTCGTCGTGAGAGGAGTCTTCGACTGACCCAGTACCGTCGTCCACTCTTTGATTTCCTCCTGGAGATTCTGTGGATAAAGTACCGCATCGTCTGTGCCATGTAACACCCACATCTTTGGTCTAAATCCCTTGTAGCCCGGATACGCAGCCTGAACAATACTCTTCCATTGCGAACCTGTCTTGATTATTTGGCCCGTCGCGCAGTCGTTAGACCAAAGATCTACGGCACTGCTATTTGCGGCAAAACATCCTAATGCCACACCAGCCCATGCAGAGCCCGCAGCGAAAATATCAGGGTAAACGCCCACGAGTACATTCGTCATCATTGCTCCGGACGAAGTGCCCATCGAGAACACGCGATTGGGATCAGCTTTGTAGGTCTTGAGTACATATTTGACCATATTCACAATGGCCAAAGAATCTCCTCCGCCATTGTGCGTAAGTGACGCTTTGGAAGAAACGTCCCAGCATTGATCTACGGCATTTGGAGAGTTGGGAAAAATCATAATGTAGCCGTAGGTATCGGCTAGCGTTGCGAATTGTGTGCCGGCAAACGCATCTTGCGCCGTTCCATGGCACCAATGTGGATTGACGAATATTGGAGGGTTAGGAGCGAGTTTGGTTGGAACATAGAGATGCATTGTAACATTTGAGGGATTGTAGCCAAAATTGGAGACCACGGTTAAATTATTGGCGGCACCTGAAGCTGCAGGTATCATGTAGACGGTAGCAGCGAAGGCAACTAGGCCTCTCCGCAACAGGTTGAAAAACACCATGGTGAATTAAGTCGGTAAAAGAAATCAATGCACATACAGAGAAGTTGCCAAACTGGGGGATAAGCCACATATATATAGACCTTGGCTTGGTATGACGACAAAATAAAGGCTAATCCTGATTGCCACTTGACAGCTCATAGGTCGTAACTCCGGTGTAGAAACTCTTATTCCATTCCTAGGCTCGCTAGGTATATAATCCCTCAATAAGAGATGTAGAAATCTTATCGGACATCCAGATTATGCACCATATTAGCCATTAGAATTTCCGGCACCAAAGTACCCCGCAATTCATCCCCGGCTGTTGTAGCCGAAGTATTTATCCGCGTGAAATGCATCACATGGCCGTTTTCGATGACTAGGAGCGAGGTACTATCATACTGAAGCCAATTGGAATTCGAGGGAACATATTGCATCCCACTTGAAGATTCTGGAAGTCGACTTGCATGGCCTTGAGGTTTGCAAGTTGGATGGATGTAGGTTTATAGCCACATATCAAAATGATATAAATGATGGGTATTCTTAGCTACTGCAGCCAATGGAAGCAAAGCGTAGAATGGAGGTTACAATTCATAAGCTTCGTTATCTCTGCCTACTTGCAATGCTAACTTATAAACCCAACCAAATGAACAAAATCAATTAACAAGAACTAGTGACAGAAGAGAAGAGAATAGAAGACAGACATAAGACATACACCACAGCCACAGGCCCAGATCCTTCGATTCACAAAAAGATTCATCAAAACCATATCCCATGCCGAGCTAAAATCAAACACCATCACCACAAGCCAACAAGAAATGAAATCGTAACCCATCCATTCAAGTGTGCCTTCGTTTCTGAGCCTTCAAATTCAATAGTAATCCACCACAAGAATCCTCGATCCCGAAAACCCATGTAAGTAGAAAGCCTCTAAAGACAATTCTTCGCCCTCCTCACTGTCGTCTCTCAATGTAAACATTCACTCTTCTTTCACTGTATCCCCATGGTGTGTTATTACTCGGCGGACCGGGCAGTGATCTCTCAGCACCGATGAACTTCCTGCAAAAAAGGTAGGATTAACAAAAGTCCAGCCCGCCATCTCATAGTACATCTTCATCACTAATTTTCAAGTCCAACTCCATCCATTCAAAACATAGGTATCAACAGATACCAGCAGCAAGAAAAGCACTCACCAATTAGCAAACTCTCTATTCATCAACGTCGTCAATTTATCCTGCACCAAGCTTTGCAAATTGTTCCTACCGACTACCCCGCTAGTCGGAAGATCTGTCACCATGCCCCGATTCGAGTGACGAAAGCGCCGAACATAAGGTAGATTATAGTCTTTATGATAGCTCCTGTGGTCCAAAGATGCGTAGCGGATAGTTAGACAACGAACTTCCGCTTGTGGAGGCGAAGACAGGTGCTGTCTTGGAGGGGGTCGATGTTTGGGTTCGGACCCGCGGTGAGGGGTTTGACGATGATGAGAATGATGACCTGGCATGCTGGATCTGTTTCAAAGACGTGATAGCAAGAGGACTTGGTGCTGTTTGATTTTTCAGTTTTCTGACACTAGGAATTTTTTGTTGTATCGAGCTTAACCTATCGAAGAAGAAGAAACACGCGATGTCAACAAGAACTCCATGGAGCAGAAAAGCAGATACATATATATATTCCTAGCATGCCACAGCCTTACTCGTAATCTTAAGCAACTCACATTTATCTTCAGCCACGACTGGATATGACTTCATCGTCTGGAAACAAATCGCTAAAAGATGTGACAGAGATAAATATCAGTTAGGTATGATGCTTATGAAGAGTATTGCACATGTGCACCAGTTATTGTGACTGCAAGTCTGCCTCATGATGCGCATGGAAATATCCATTGGATTATAGATGACGAGAAAGTAGTCGACCCATGTAGCGACCCTAGCTGTGGGGGCTATTTGATAAAAACCATGCTTTATCCCAGCAGTGGCTTAGCAAGAATCCTGCTAATACATGTCGAATGTAGAGCATCTGAGGCTGAATGTACACGCCTCTGTAAGAAGAGGTGTTCTGGAAAAGATATAAGATGCGTTGGGGAAATATTCAATAAGTTAAGGTTAACTGAAACGACAGCGCGACACATATAGTATTAATCAACTGCTATCAGCCGAAATCCATTTTCATACTAAAAATCGGCTTTTTACTATATTTTCAAATACAAAAATCTTTATTATTTATAATTCAAATTATCTGAAAATTTATTTTTGGAAAGTTTTTATAATGATAATTGATATTTTCAAAATTTTAAATCTTTTAAAAATTTACATTGTGAAAATTTATATAATTAAATTAAAATATCAAAAAAATTGCTTGATTTTTGCTTATTTTATTAATAAATCAAATTATTTTGAAAATACTCTAATTTTCAATCTATATTATATAATCAAAAAAAAATCAAAAAAATAATCAATCTTATTTTTATTAAATTTCAATTAAAAATAAATTAACAAATACAAAAAAAGATTTATTTATATTAATATTAAATAGGAAAATTTAGGATTATAAATGATAAGTTTTGGTGTGAAAACACATTTCGGCTGATAGCAGTTGGCACTTACTGTAAGGCCGGCGGCACAACAAGCCGTCCGCTATCGAACCTATTCGTGTAACGGTAAGCTTTATATTTGCTTGCATCCAGCCTCTTCAATGGTCAATAATTGAACTGCGAAGACACAGAATTATAAAACTGAATTTCTATCTGAGTTATGGATGCATGATTAGGAGCCGCAATATTTCACAGCCTCCTGCATCAATTCGCTAGCGTCTGCCTGTAACGGTTAAGCAAATGAAGCATGTGACATGACACAATTATTATTATGATTGGCGTACTTCTCAAAAAAGGGTATCGCGTGCATGCAAACGGATATAGATATATCATGGCTAAAAAATTAAATTCGATGTCTGCCTGTAAAAGATGTGAGGCATACTAAAAATTACAACCATCTTCACGCTCTGAAGTCCCTTGTATATCCTTTATAAATGTTACTAAGAAAATTACATGATCAACTGAGGACCATGATATTTGGTCTCTTCCTTCACTTTCTTTGCAGAAGCAGCACTAACGCTTTCCAGAGTTCTCTTTGGGAATCCCTCAAAAGAAGCCGCATAAGTAGCAACCGAATGAGCGATGAGTTGGGTGTTGACTAACCAAGCATCAAGAGCAAGGTTTGAAAGATCATCACAAAGTTGATGGTAACAAGGATCATACCAATCTCCAGCCTTACCACCAAACATTTCAACTTCAGCGGCAGTCTTGACACCTTCAGCACCAGTTGCGATTCCACCACCTGGAATACCGTTCTTGATGAAAGCATCATAGTCGCTTCGACCATCGAATGGGATATATGTGTAGTTGAGTTGATGAGATTTGTACCACTTTGTATACAAGTTTCTCAATGCTTCGGATCCATCAGGATTGGCGGCATCAGTGGCGTTGTACACCTGATAAGCATAGTTTGGAGAAGCCATCATGTCGTAATCCATGAAAAGGCGGATTTTTAAATTCTCCTCGTCGGAAAGTTGGGAAACATAGTAGTCTGAACCGAGAAGTCCCTCCTCCTCACCGGCCCACCAGCCAAATCGAACACAATTGTTGACTTTATACTTGGTCAACTGTGTAGCAACCTCAAGCAGAGATATAGTGCCAGTTCCATCGTCATTGATACCCGGTCCTGCCTCAACACTGTCTGAATGTCCTCCCAACATTACACAGTTATTTGCATCGCCTCCTTTGGTCTGAGCGATGATATTTGTGGTGTTGATTTCTTCAACCAATGCATCAACAAATGCAGATCCATCAATGGATTCCCCATTCTTCAATTTCTCGACATATGGAGCTGCTTCTTCGTCTGATATACCGAAAGTGGCGATATGATCTGCATTTGGTGCTCCCAGTGTTCCACTGAGAGATCCGTTTGCATTATTGTAGACAACTGCGGCAATGGCACCTGCTTTACCGGCATTCGCAGATTTGTCTCCAAATGAACAAGTTCCACGGAGGATCAAAGCGATAGAGCCCGCCACCTCTGCGGGATAGTCGGACGCATCACAACCACTGTTGCTAACCAATACTAGTGGGCCGAAAACCGCATCTTTGTTGGCTGTTGGAGGTGTGAGACTCATGGGGGTAGCAGTCTTTGGAACGGCATCGCCCAGTACGAGTCGATAGTCGAAGATGTTGCCCACTACTGCAGGAAATGATTGGTTGGAGATATCATAGTAGTCGCCGAGAGACGCAATAGAAGAGTAGATGTAATCAACAGTTGATTCGTGGCCTGTTACACAGAGTGAGTCAGAAAATGTCTTGAGCAGCTGAGGAGATGAAGGAATGGGAACATACCTTTAGACCCGATAACTCTCGTTGGGTGATTATACTCAGGAATACTTTCCTCTGCAATTTTGTAAAGCTGATTCGCCCGTTTGAGAAGGTTTTTTGTCTTTATATCGTTTTGGAGGGAAGAAGATTTGATCAATGGTTTATGTTTTTCATTGATGAGAGATTGAGAGCTGGGTTCCGCAATGGGTTGTTGAATAACTGCACCTGTAGCTAGAGATGCCGCTGCAAGAAATAGAGTAGAACGTAACATAATGAAGGGAATCGTGGAAGTTTACCACGGATTTGTTATTGAATTGATTTAATGATGTTTGTTGTTTTGAAGGATCAGAGATAGAGAGGTTGGGAATGACTGAAGCTTTAAGACTGAAGCTTAAAGCTACTCAGCTCAGATAGCGTATGCACGACGATATCGGCAAGCAAATTGATTGGCCAAATTTTGGGCGGTGAACTTTGGGTGATTCAGTTACCCCTTGCCCCTGTCACCCTCGATTGTTGTACTCCAGACCTGGTGACCTTGCCCCCGTTTCGGTTCTACCTTATTGATCGCTCATCTTCACGCCGAGGATGGATAAAGACATGACTCGGCACACGTGCTATCAGTAGATCTTGGAAGTTAATTTATATGTCTTGAGTCAATGCATGTCTGACACACTAGATAAGGACTCAGGCACGCCAGGCACGCCAGGTACCAGTTGCAATCACAATTCATGATGTTCGTCTAAAAATCTAACCCCCTTTAACCGTTCAAGTACGCCAAGATCTCTGCCGGAGCACCTGCATCTGCGGGGTTTCTCTACAACATTCCGGATTAGGTAGGTAGTCTCTAGCACCTAAGTCTTGGACTCGGCACGTCAGAAACTAATTCCCACAAAATTTATGATATTCGTTTAACAACTCTAACCCCCCTTTATCCGTTATCTATATATATGCTCGATCAGGCAGGTAGTCTCTAGAAACTCTTTTATCAATCAGTGCCAAGGTATAATACAATCATTTCACATCATCAATCCAATCCAGTCTCAATCCCAAGTCCCTTCTTATCCATTCTCCAAGGAATCGCCCGATACTACTATCAAAATACGCCATTTGGACCACCCAAAGAACCGTGAATATCCGTTTCAACAGACAAACTTCTGCGCCATTCACAGAACCAAGGCCGGTTCTTCACAGTTCCCCCACTACAACAGCCTCAGTTCCAACAGATTCGGTGTCCACATGCAACAATGAGACCACAATATGATCAGTGTGGACCAGCTGTTTCTGAATTCCCATCCCCACCATCTAGATCGCCGTCTCTCGATCCCCCATCCTGTGACCAAGTAGAATCCTCGTTTATCATGACAACGGCAGAATCGGCAGAATCATTTTTGCTATGTTTGCCATCAGAACTCGAGGCCCCCAGACTTGCAAGTTCTCGGACATCTATTGTTTTTTGTGCCCAGTATATCAGCGTTTCCTCCAACCTTTCCTTCTCAACTGGTTTACTCAAGTATCCATCCATTCCCGCCTCGAGGCACTTTTCTTGGTCTCCTTGGATCGCACTAGCCGTCATAGCTATCACTGGAAGATCTTTTAGTCTACTTTTCGTTTTGGTTTGTGTCTTGCCAGTCGGACTCCCCATTTCCGATCCATTCAGATTTGAGTGTCTCGCGGTGGCCAATTTTTTGGCTGTTTCTAACGGCCGTATATCATGCTCTAAATACCTTTCATATTCTTTATTCGTCCTTAGAATTTTCGTTGCTTCATAACCATCCATAATTGGCATCTGGACATCCATCAAGATGATATCTGGTCTCGGATTAGATGGCCCAGGATTGCTCAAGTAATTCAATGCTTCGCGTCCGTTCCAAACGGCTGTTGCTTGAAATCCTAGATTTCGGACAGTTTTCAATGCGATGGTTTGATTAATGGCACTATACTTGGTAAGCAAGAAATTAAAGGATGTGCTTATAATAGATCTGTCCAGCTTACTTATCCTCGACAACTAGAACAAGGATCTCGCCTCGTTCTTCCAGTGGAAGTTTTGGCCCATTATTTTTGTACTTGTCTCCGTTTCTTAGATATGGAGGGAGGACATGATTGGTTTCACTAGTCGAGATTTGTTGATTTATAAGTTGTTGTTTTACCTGCCCTCGGTGAGAGCTTGGTCGAAGAGCCAGTGGCGTACTCGGCAAAGATTGTGAATCAGAGTTATTGTTGGCGAAAGAAAAGTCAAGCTTAGCCGGAGTGTTGGAACGTCGGGGGTAACGGCAATAGGATGATATCTTCAATGGTATTGTGAATGTGGCCGTGCTCCCAACTCCTTCTTCTGAATCAAGAGCAATCGTTCCAGACATCAGAGTTGCAAGCTAGTCTTAGAATCAGTATCTCGAAGTAGGAATTTCAATAAATAAAGTGAGGTTCTCTGGTGGACAGGCATTGGAAGAATAGAAGAAGATACTTACATTCCTCGATATTGTCAGACCTAGACCCGTCCCACCATATAATCTCGCGGTTGAAGAATCCCCCTGGCTAAAGGGTCTGAACAACTTATCCAAGGTTGTTTTGGATATTCCAATCCCGGTATCTCTAATCACGAAACTGACCTCAATTGTATCTTTTCCAATGTTGCCTGGATCCGTTATTCTTTTTCCTTTCGCGCTTATTGTTATAGATCCATTTTCCGTAAATTTA